TTGGGAAAGGTGGGTTGAGGAGAGTAAAATAAAAAATTATTTTCATAAAAATATTTTATACTCTCTAACCAAACACTAGAAAAAAATTTCCACAAAAAATTTTTCACTCACCAACCAGACAAGGGAAAATAAGTGATAAAACAACTCATTTTTCATACCAAACGCACCTTGTATGTCCAAAATCAAGTTAATCAGATACCCTTTATTCCCGTCGTACTATCTAACAAGTAACATGTAGTGCTCTAGAGGAGAATCCGATCACTTGGCCCTCGTTATATACACACGAAAGAGAATATAAAAGAATTGGATGCGCAAAATTTAATAGGGAAGCTTATAAGATTCATCGTAGAGTCAGTTCTCTCTTTTACCTTTATATAAGCTTGTTTAACTGGCCGGGTTGATCCATTTTCGGATTGGCCTAGGTCGGTTGTAACCCGGACCGATCCGGACCGGTAGTTAGGGGGCGGGCTAGGTTAGAGGGGTTGGTCTATTTAAAAAAATCCGATTAACTGGACCGGTCAAATCCGGTCAACGAAAAATACTGTTGAACCGGTTAACCGGACCGGTTCAACGACTATAAATCTGATTTTTTTTTTAAAAAAAAGTCATATGACCGTTGGCCTTCAAATTTGACCGTTGCCCAACAGATATTTTGTAAGAATAACCCTTTTTGGGCAATAATTTTTAAAAAATAATATTTTTAGTAATTACTTATTTAATCTTTTGAAAAACTATAAATACACCCCCTCCCCCCTCCCCTTCTTCATTTCTACACTCATCTCTCATTTCTCAAACTCAAATTCTCAATTCAAGTTAAATCATGCCCCGTGATTCTAGAGTGCGCTCATATGTTTGGGAACACTTTGAAGTGGTAGAAGAAAATGAAAAGGTTCACAAAGTAAAGTGCAAGAATTGTGGTCGAGTCTTAAATCTTCGTCGAAAGTGGGAGGGCATAGGCTGTGTTAAGGAGGCATATGAAGAATTGTCTTGAGCGTTCTCCAAAAATTCGTATTTAAGATTTTAAGTTGATTTTGAGACAATTTGTATTATTTTAAAAGTATTAGACGTATTATGCTTAATGTTTTAGTTTGTTAGATTAATTTGAAGTATTATTATGCAATGATAAGTACAAGTTTGAACTTTAATTTGAAGTATTAAATGTAAACTTTAATTTGCAAGTTTGAACTTGAAAATTATAAGTGCAATTTTTTTTTCATCTTCATTGTATTCTATTATCTTAAATTTTTAATGAAATATTCAAAATTTCAATATAAAGATTTTAAAACCTTTGCATCATTTTATTCAAACACTCTTTTTATAATATTGTTTATTTGTTTTATATTTTTACTTTATATTAATATAAATTATGATAGTTATACAAAATACAAAAAAAATAAAAAATAATAACACTAACCCGGCCCGGCCCCTTGGACCCGTAACCCTTCCGGTTCATTTTTTACCCGAATGGACCCGGACTCGTTGAGCCCGATATTGAAAAATCCGTAACCGGCCCGGATTTGAAACCGACCGGTCACCTTTTTTTCCAACCCGGCCCGATCCGGCCCACCCGTTAAACACTCGTATCTTTATATCTTTGCTACACAAATGAGTGTACATATACCTATTGTCAGGGGTAGAGCAGTATACATGTTACTGAGTTCGGCCAAAGCAGTATATATGTTACGGGTTCGATCAAAATTTGGTCTAAACTTGTGTATTTATCTTAAAAATTCATTGAATATATAAAAATTCTAAATTTAAAAGAACTAGAATATCAAACTCAGTTAACTTTAAATCCTATCTGCACAGCCTGTTGTGCGCTCTTCTTTTAATGCTTGCATGATTGCGTTTGCATCTCCTGTTTTTGCTTGTTTGCTCCATGACACTGCTCATCTCTTATCTGTCCTAATAGGTGCGTGCTAATAGGCATTAATTTAACACTCCAATTTTCTATACTATCTTCCTTATTTTATTTTTTCGAACATATAGCTGCATAAGATAATAAACATGGGGTGCATATATGTGTATTATATATCTATATCCGATCTATTATTCAGTCATTTTATTCTCGTCTCTTTACTTTATTCTTGTCTCTTTTAATTTTTGTAAGTGGAACTATCTAGGGACGGACCTAGAGCATTGAATATGTGTTCCTGAAAACCCAATAACTCTTGCGTATATTTTATATTTATATTAATAAATTACTAAATATTTATAAATATATAACTGTGAACTCAGTTATTATTGCATATTAATTTGAATTTACGGTAGGAACCCATAAACCTCATATCCTAGATCCGCCTCTGGAACTATCTCGCTTATCTGTGATTGCTCAATCTCAACCATCATCTTGTGTTTAGGGATGACATCATCATAATGAAGAATGATTCCACTGAGGTGTAAACATTATTCCACGGAATAAATTAATTAGAATCTAGTGAGTTAATAACATTGTAAAAGCTAAACATGTGACGGACTAGCGGCTAAATTACTTGAACTATTAGTGGTGTAATAAGTAGCTAGGTAGATCATGAATTAGTGGTCAATAAGTAAGTTAATTAGAGTAGTAGACAAGTTGTAGTCTAAGCGATTTCGAGAGTTACACAAGGAAATAATTGATATTTTTCTCACAATTATAACTACTAAAATGTAAGATCATGCGTCTTCATGCTCCAACACAAAAGTAATGCGCCCCAATTTTCAACTGTTTTAGATAACAACACATGATCAAAATAGTCCATCAAAATTTTGAATTAAAAAAATAGTCCATAGTTTCTCTAATTGGACACTAGTCTTTAGTCATCTCGTGGAACTTCCAACCAAAGCACTTTACAAAAAAAGTCGTCATCTAGTTCTAGAAACACCAATAACATGTACACATCTTTAGAGCTCTGGTGTGGCTCGTAATTATATAAAACGAATAATCACCTTTTCAAGAGTCATCCTTGTCTGCGCACGTGGGAATTGGGATTTATCAAAATAGTATCTTTGTTATATTGTTCATTGTACAATGTACATAGTTGTCTATTTGTTAACCATAGCTTTACGGGTCTCCCAAGTATCTCTCTAATAGAATCTTCTTAAACCCTAACTTCCTCCTTGCTTCCTATTTTTCAATCAAGACTTTATATTTTCCAATCCCTTTTCTCCTTTTGTCTTATCTTTTCCCTTTTTTCTTCATTATCCCCTTCCAAGAAGCAGCCCTTTCGTACCTAAAATTTTCCCTATCCGTACCTATTTATACCTCTCATCAACAAATTCCATTTCCTACTCACTTCAACTTAATACTCCCTTCCCTGCTTGTTGAATTTTATAATTTCCACCTTCCAAATTAGCTATATCACGTGAAATAATTAGTTAGTATATATACGTTACTAGTAGTATTTAGTACAGAGATATGGATTATGGGGGGGTGATGAAGTGCAAGAAGGTCAAGAAACAAAGGAGGAGATCAGATGACCATAATTCTAAGAAGTCAAATATCAAAGTTGTGTATATTTCTACTCCCATGAAAGTAAAGACTAGTGCGTCAAGATTTAGGGCACTTGTCCAAGAACTCACTGGGCCAGACTCCGATATAGCACGAATTATGGAGAGTAATGGCGCAACAGAGTTTGAAGATCATAACGGACATGGCAATAATGAACTTCGTGAACTGCTAAAGTCTTCGTCACCATCACCATCACCGTCGTCGTCTTTGCTGCAAGCAAAGTCTAATTCATCGTCTGTGAGCTCAGAGTCTAATTATTTTACGGAACCTAATTTTGAGGATTTATTATTTAGCAGCCAGATGGAAGAGCAGTTCCTTGCTTTATTGGCTTCTGCTAATTCTGAGATTGACGTTCTTGGAAGCTATGATGCATTATAGATTTCTTATGTTTGTTTTTCTTTTAAATTATTGGATGGACGATAGACTATGTAGAGGTGTATATATATGTAAGGATATATTTTTTTACAGAACCGATATTCTTTAGATAGTATGGTATAATTTTTTTTGAATTATTGGGAGGAGATTTAGGAGACTTTAGGAGTTGGAAAGATTTAGAAAACCTTTTATTATGACAAAAATAATATTAGCACGGTTTCAATATTCAATATCAATCAATTAAGATGAATAATGTACTATTTTTCAATAGTCAAAATCAACTCCAAAGCCCTTTAACTAGTAGTAGTAATCAGTAAAAATCCACTAACTTTTAAATCGAGCCACTTTAATTCTGACTAATCTATCGGCTTAAAATTTTGGAAAATTGGTCAATATACCTGTCTATATATAAAATGACTTAATTTTATTCTTCGTTATATTTTAAGGTCATTTATGTCCTTATTGTTAGTAAATTGTCCAACATATCTCCAACCGACCAACCTAAAATACAACAAGAGCTAATTTCAAATCATAGCCAAAGCACAAGGGTAATATTTGGATCCTTAATTTCCCAAAGTATTTTGACATTTGGACTCCACTACAATCACGTTGGAGAAAGATCAAATACTTCAACTAAATACTAGATAAATTATATTAACAATAAATGTATAAAAAGGTCCAACTGTATAACATATGAATAAATTAAAATATTTTGTATTGGTAGAATTGCCGTAGGTGGTTAAATTTGAACCTTTTGTGCCAAATATCACTATGATTTTTTGTGCGTGAAGTCTAAAGGGGTAAATATATGATAGTTCTTCTTTGTATGATTACGGTATAATGTGGATCTTTAATCCTAAAACAAGAGCTTCTTTTTGCCAAACGTCATTATGTAAAATATTAAATGATGTGCGTACCCGTACATTCATAGAGGCTATCAAAGTTGCTTATCATAAGTATAACATTATTAACATGCTTGTCCATCATTTGTGCATCATATTAGATTGAGATCATTGTCCATAATCATGTATCTTAGGTGATGGCTTCTTCATTTTCAACACCAAACTTAGTCGTATATATTGAAACTGAGTAAGTACCTTTTAATTAATTCTAATGCAACATGGTACAATAGATCTATGATATCGTGTTGAGTTTAGCTTTTTTATAATCGCGTGTGCCGCGTGGTGCATTAAACACTTTCACAGTGTCGAAACACCATTTTAGCCTTCCTTTGGTTTTTTTCTTCAACCAACTACATATCGATCGTATTATTAGATGACTTATAAATCCATGTTTCAAGTTTTAGATATGTTTTTATACATTGGGCCGGGGTACTACACATTCTTCCAAATTTGTCCTAACGTTCACACAACCTTTAATTTTGTATTTTGTTAGTTATAACCTTCGAGGTTGGATCGAGACATATATATTGATGTTTGGCTATAATTCCATATTTTAGTATATTATTTACCTTACATTTTAGGTGTTTTAATGTTAAATTATACTTTATTTGCGCGTAATGGAGTCTATTTTATGTGTATGTACATTTGAGATGAAATTAGAGCAAAAGAAATATTTAAAGTATAAAGCGTGCTCGAAAACAGTTGGAAAGAAGAAAGAAAGAATTGAGCAGCGGAAAAATGAACAAGCTGGCGAAGCAAGCTATTGAGCTCGCGTGGAAGCAGGCGACGCGAGGGGCAGGACGAGGTTGAGCGCGCGGAATGTCTCGCGTCGCACAGTCTAAGGCGAGTTGTATCTCGCCTTTTTACCTCGCGAGGCACGATCCATAGCGAGCCTGATCCAGATTTTGAAGGCTTATTTCGTCTCCTTGTTGGACTTGGACTTGGGCTATGTCGTTTAGGTCTTTTCCTACACATATAAATAGATATTAAACACCACTTTTGAAGGAGTTTTTTTTTTGGCGACCAAAGGCAAGAATAGCTCGTGGAACAACTTTGGGGGGAAAGAATCATCGAGTTCTACATTCCTTCATCTTTTCTTTGTAATTTAATTATGCAAAATACTTGGAAAATTGTTACTATAAGTATGAGTAGCTAAACTTCTAATCTAGGATTTTGATGGAACCTATTAGAGAATGATTTTTCTGTTACATTTAATATAGATTTGCTGTAGCTTTTTTTTTATTTTTTCAACTACGTTTATATTGTGGTTGGTTGAAGAGCTCTCAATCGACTGTGCCTATTTAGTATGTATTACTCGGAAAAGAATGCATATTTAGGTATTTGTTGAACAACATCACTCCTAACGTATGTGAGTGATCAATACGGAGTGTTTAAAGGTGGGATTAGAAGTAACGAAACCTTGGTGCGATCCGAGTGAGCCGTAACTTAGTGCCAGCTAGCGTAGTTTGGAAGAATATGTTTAGTAAATTGTGATAGTTACTCGGGAGAGAATTACGACACTCAAATCGCTCATGATCGGTAGAGAAAACTTAGGCAAATTTATAGAAAACGTAGCGGAAAGGAGTCCGACAATAGGAAAAATCAAAACCTTAGATCATTCCAAATCTTGTCTACAACATGTTCGTAGTTAGTTAGTAATTACTGCATTTCCATTACTTGGTCTTTAGTTAGTAAACATCCAATTCATTATTTAATATTTCTGAAGATTAATTAAGTGAATTTATGCGAATCTAGTATCTGTGCTTAGTAGGTTAATTTCCTGTAGGATTCGACTCCGCACTTGTAAACCGGATTATATTTGCAACGATTACTTAGTCCTTTTTATAAGGCATAGTTGGACGTGATCAAATTTTAGCGTCGTTGCCGGGGAATTAACGGTGTTATTAATTGCAGCTAAAAGAAGTGCTAGAATTCTTAGTGTAGTCAATTTTCTTCATTTTAAACTAAATACATTAAAATTCTAACGTTTGTAGATTTGGGTGTTACAGGTACATGCCTAGAAACTCCTCAAGAACTGGTGAATTGTTTGAAGCATTATCAGATCCTAAGAAAGTTTTCAAGGCACTGAATCGTGCAAACAAGAAGGACAAACAACAACAGAACTCAACAGAACAAATCGAACCAGACATGGATGACGTAATAGAAAATCCAAACAACAGAAATAATGCGAATGACCCGAACAATTAGGGTGTGGCACCTCTTGTGCCAGATGCAGCCTTGTATGATTGGGCATAACCCACCGCCGAAAATCTGGCAACCGCAATTGTAGTCCCTCATATACAAGCGGAATCATTTCAAATCACAAACAACATGCTATATTAGTTACAGAACAAGGGATTGTTCTCAGGGTCTTACATTGAAGATCCTCAGCAGCATCTGAAAAATTTCCTGTCGATATGTGTCATGCAAAGGCAACCTAATGTGATACCGAAAGCAATAAAGTTGTTATTGTTTCCATTCTCGGTGACGGGAGAAGCTCAGACTTGGCTAAATTCACTCCCCATAAACTCCATCACTACTTGGGAGGAATTAGTCAAGCAATTTTTGAACAAGTTCTACCCACCCAATAAGACTGCCAAACAAGTTGATGAGATATTGAGCTTCAGGCAGAGACCAACAGAAACACTACAAGAAACGTGGGAGAGGTTCAAGGGTAGGCTGGTTAAGTGTCCACATCATGGCATTTCAGATCAGATGTTGGGGCAAAGATTCTACATGGGATTGACAGACAGCTTAAATACCAATGTTGATGCTTTAGCAGGTGGAGCATTTTTGAGCAAATCATTCAGAGAATGCAAGATCCTACTTGATAAAATGGCTCAAAACTCAGGATGGATGACAAGAGACTCTACGATCACTTATGTCGTTCACTCAGCGGCTTTGGACCCAAACAACTCCATAGGCAAAAATATGGCCACTCTGATGACGCAAATGAGTATCCTCACCAAAAAGATCGATGAATCAGGCCAGAAGCAGCAGGTACACATAGTTGACGCGACTAATGGGGGCTTATGTACACCGTGCATTAACCAACCATATGTATGCCATGTGGCCAACTATGGAGGACAGAGGCAAGGTGGTCAGAATTGGGTGCAACAGAATCAGCAATATAGACCGGCACAGCAACAGTTCAATAATAGAAGCAATCCTGGAGTTATGCGACCACATGGTCAAGTTGTGCCTTACCAAAGGCAATGGGGATACAATCAGCAAAATCAGCAGCCAGCTTATCAACAGCCTCAACAACAACAGATAGTGCGACAAGATGATAGGTTGTTTGAAATTAAAGGAATGCTGCAACAACTCATTAGGGCCAGCAAAAAAATGGAAGAAAAGGTCCACCAGATGCAAGAAAAGGCGCACCAGATGCATGAAAAGTTAGTATCGCATGACTCGGCTATCAAAGGCATTGAGATTCAACAAGGGCAGATATCGATGACTCTGAATAATCGTCCCCAAAGGACGTTACCTGCGGACACCCATGTCAATCCAAAAGAGTAGGGTCCGAAGTAGCTTATGGCGGTGAGTCTAATAAATGGTAGAGACCTAGATCTAGAGCAAGAAATTGCTCGCAAAACCCGACCAACTAAAACACTTGTGCCAGTACCCATTGAGGTAGATGGTTAAACCGGGTTAACTGAGGTAATGATACAATATACACAAGAGAGCACAAGCAAGGAAAAAGAGGTTGCGAAAGAGACTGGGGTAGTGCAGGAAACAACAGTAGAAGTAGTGCCCGAGCAGGATAAAACTCAAATCACAGGAAGGAAGCGACCTCTAGCACCATTTCCACAGAGATTGGCCAAATATCAGAAGGATGAGCAGTATAAGAAATTCATGGAGATGTTGAAACAAAATCCAGGTGAACATTCCACTGATTGACGCCTTGAGGGAGATGCCTGGGTATGCCAAAATGATGAAGGATTTGATGTCTCGTAAGTTCAACTTTCAAAACTTGGCCACTGTTACACTAACCCAGACCTATAGTGCTGTCGTGACGAGACTCGTAGCTGAGAAGTTGTCAGGCCCAGGGAGTTTCACAATCCCATGCACAATAGGCAGCTATGCTTTTGCTAAAGC